TTCATTCGTTCCGCAACACCATTCTGTTGTGGTGTCTTGCGCACTGTAAATGCCTCTGAATCCCATGCTCCTTACAGAATTGTAGGAACTGTGAATCTGTGTACTCTGTACCATTGTCAGACCGCAAACACTTGATTTTTCGTCCTGTTTGGTTTTCTACCTCAGCTTTCCACAGCTTGAACTTCTCAAAAACTTTAGATTTCTGTTTCAAAAAATACACCCAAACTTTCCGTGAAAAATCATCAATAAAAGTAACATAGTACCTAGATCCACCCAAAGACGATGTCGTGGAAGGCCCCCATACATCAGAATGCACATATCAAGAATCCCTTGAGTTGTGTGCTTCGCAGTCTTGAAACGGACTTAGTCTGTTTACCAAGAACACATACTTGCAAAAGTCGAGCTTACAACTTTTGACACCATGCAACAAGTTTCTCTTGTGTAATTCTGCCATACCACGTTCACTAATGAGCAAGGCGCATATGCCACAATTTTGTCGTATCATCACAGACTCAACAGAGTGAACTCCACCTGCAACGGTACTCCCTAACATATGTATATATTCCCTGCAGTCATCTTGCCTTTCATCACAGTCAATGCTCCTTTAACAATCCGAATGGTTTCCCTATCCTCGTCAGCCTTAGGGATAAAACCATTCTTGTGCAAAGTGCCCAAGGAAATCAAATTCTTCTTCAAGTCTGGGATATGTCGAACACCACTCAACGTCCGAACGTCGTGCATCTTAATTCTGACATCACCAATACCAACAATATTGCAACATCGATCATCACCCAAATAACCGAACCAGAATTAACCGCCTGTATGTCGAAAACCATTCCCTATTTGGCGTGATGTGATAAGAACATCCAGAATCAAGAATCCAAGCATCCGTCAATTGTGTCGTTGAAATAGAAGCATATCACCTCACTGCAATCAGAATTATCATCCTCGACCACGTTCACAGACTTGGATGAGCCATCACGCTTCTCATCTGTCTGCTTTTTCAACTTCGGACAGTCTCGCTTCATATGTCCCGCCTCCTTGCACTTGTAACAGTGAATCGTCTTCTTATCCCTGGATTGGATCTGGAATTCCGCTTCCCGGACCCTTTCTCTGGCTTCCGTCCACGATCTCGATTACCCTTGACATATAAGCTATCGGCTTGAGAGCTTTCCCCTGCATTCTGCTTCCGCTGGTTGTGAGCCAACAAGGCTGTAGTAATCTCCTCAACATTGATATTCTCTTTCCCATATGTAAGAGTAGTCACCATGTGTTCGTAAGAGGGAGGCAACGAACACAACAGAATCATCGCTCTGTCTTCATCCTCAATTTTCACATCAAGCCGAGCCAGATCAGAAACGATTTGATTGAAGACATTCACGTGTTGCGCCAAATCGTGATCGTCCTGCATCTTCAGCCCATACAGCCGCTGCTTCAGATACAGTTTTGTCGTTAAGGATTTGGACATAAACTGACTTTCCAACTTCCTCCAAATTTCGTCTGGAGACGATAGATGCATGACGTGATGCATGACCTCGTCCGCCAAGCATAATCGTATGGTTCTTGCCGCTCGCTGCTGCAATTCTTCCCAATCTTCCTCATCCATCGACGCCGGCTTTGTAGATCGCAAAGCCTTCAAGATCCCTTGCTGCGCCAATAGATCCTTCACCCTCGTTTGCCATAATCCGAAGTTACCCTGACCATCGAATTTCGCGACTTCGAATTTTGCTCCTGACATCTGATACCAATTGTTGACGAAAACGGGTAAAGAAAACAAAAGAACACGAGAATTTTACGAGGTTCGGCAATGTGCTTACGTCCTCGGTGCCTAAGCGGCGCTAGAAGTTTTTATTCAATGATATTTTAGGTCTAGGTTACATCTCTATTTATAATAGAAAACTCTGGTACATAATTACAAAATTAACCCTGTACCGTACCGCAGGGGCTGCGCCCCCGCACCCCCAACCCACATAATTCGTAACCCCACAACGAGACTTTCTTTGTAAGGACAGTTGATGTTCGCTGCGTTCGCTTCGCTCACTCCGCTCCATCTCCTGTCCTCTTTACTGGTATATTTATGAGCCATACCTAACACCATCGATGGCGGAAGAGGAAGATTCTCAAGTACCCTTTTGGCAGGTGGTAATGATGGGGTATGGAAGTGGAGTGATGCTAGGGCTGAGCCTTGGTTACATTATGCTCACGACCGGAAGACCATGGTGGTTTGTTCGAATGGTCGAGAAAGATTTTCAATACAGATTCACAAACTGGATCAGAAGAAAGGGACCAAAAAGAAACTAGTTTCAACACCAAATGTAGAAAAAAAAATTGAGGTAGATCTCACTGTATAATTAAGACTTGATTGACTTGGAAATGAAGTGTTGACTTTTTCTTTTCTTTTTTGTCCATCAAAGTGTTGACTTTACTCTCTTCTTTATCTTTTTGAAAAAATAAAATAAGTCCAACTCAACTATGGATAGACTTTTGACTTGAACATTAAAACCACTGCTGAAACTTTCATCGAAACAGTTTGGCATTGAAACGAATGATAATGAACATCTTGGTCATGATCAGGTGAGTAGATATCATAATGTTGCATTGATTTCTCATAAATTACAGTCGGAGAAGATTAAGAATCCGGGAAATATACAGATTGCATGTTGAATTTGGAGATAAATTGTGTTGTTCATGGTAATCAGCAACATCAGTTCTTTTGTTCCAGTGATTCATTAGTTGGAATCTAAAACATACCATCTTCCTTCATATGTTAATATGAAGTTATGGACCAAGATTTTGTGTCACGAGTTCATGTAGTATATTAAAAATCTAAAGGGTACGAATTAAAAAAATTCATGGACTGCGAAATTAAAACATAATTTAAAGGACGCAAATTACAAAATTTTACGAAACTAAAATATATATATAAAATAAAATATTTAAAATATATGATGATTTGAAATTTCCAAATGAGCCTCGATGGGGTGTTTACTTTTGGTGAACGTCAATGTTCATAATTTCTCTTTAATTAAGGACAAGAAATCCATCTATAATGTGGTTAGCCATGGTCATGGATCGGGTCGAGTTAAGTCAAGTTTTTGATCGATTCAAACCTAATTCGAATAAACCGAAGAAGTGTTGTTAGTTTAGCATACATCAATATATACATGTTCAGGGAGTGGTGATACGAGTGCCTTTGTATTCGTCATTATTTATAAATTTGTATTTATGAGTCTTCTGTAATCTGAATATGTTTTAACTTGAACATTTGATCCCTGTTGATTTCTTCTGTAATCTGAATATGTTCAAGTATTGCACAAATCCATACCTACTCCTTCCTGAAGCTGCATCGATCTTGGTATGACCCAAATCCTGTGAACCATATTAATCGGTGAGTTGTAGAGTGCTTTTAAGTGGCTAAGCCATTCTGGAAAATAGGTTATATCTGGGTCAACTGCAATGGGGAAAGGTAATGGGAACTAGTGGAGCTCATGGCCTTCCATCCAAAAAAAATATATTATAAATAATAAATAAATATATATATATATATATATATTAAATTATTAAATTTGGCCTTCAAAAAATATTTATAGTAAATTATAAAATTTGATATTACTTTGAAATTTATAAACCACTTAAATATCATTTATTAAGAAGAGTTAATATCTAATTTTTATATTATTATTTAATTTTTAAATGAATGAAAATCTATTTTTATTTGTTATTTCTGATTTCAATATATATATTTTTTGTATTTCTCTATGTTTGATTGTTATCTCCTTTAAGTTGAGACTTTTTTTTTTTGAAAATACTTTAAGTTGAGACTTGAATCAAGTGATCAAGTACTTCATTTCAGTTGGAAGTAAATATTTTTTTTTAATATTTTTTATTTTTATGATTTTATTCCATATATCTATATTTATTAAATGGGTTTGAAATTTCGTCTCCAAAAATAAAAACTTAGACATAAATTGATATATATGTGTATAAAAGAAAATATTTTAAAATGTCTCTAAATATCTTGATTATATAAATATAGATATAAATTTTAAAATGGATTGATTACATTTGTATATTATATGAATTTACTATAAAACTAAATTGATATATTTTATGGTTATATGTAAATTGAGTGAAATTATTGGGGGGACTAGATGAATTTTATTTATTTATTTATTTGAATTTTTATGTAAACATGTGAATTTTTAGAATTTATAAAATTTTATTTTATTAATATGATATTTTGATATATAATTTACATTACAAAACACTAAAATATTTTAGTTAATATATAGAATTTTTTTAAATGATCCCCACAGGATAATATTGAATTTCGCCATTGACCAACTATTATACATATAACATTCATAGGATCACTACTTTGAATTTAGAACGGTACCAAAATTTTAAATTTTCATATAATTTAAATATATTTTTTATGTTTTTAATTGCTAAAATTAAAATTTTATAAGGTAACTCTTTCTAGAATTTTATAAATTCTCTTTGTATAATCTTGCATCCGTCATGAATATAAAGTTTAGAACTTCATCGTATCTCCTCCAAAAAAAAACCATCCAATCTGGAAAAGACACCGACAAGGGAAAAGAAAGTATCTCAGTTCAAAAGAAAGTATCCGAGTTCCGACGCATCACTCTCAACCAAAGATGGAAATCTGGGCATTTGCATAACGTAGAATTCCACACAATTTGCAAATGTCTGGACCCATTGTTGTACTTTGAACCATCAGTCAAGCTAACTAGAATTCAACCAATAAATTCTAACCAAAAAAGAAGCCTGTATGATAAACGCTAGTATATGAGAACCACTGATACTCACAAAGTTGGTCTACAAGCAATGTGGAAGTTCGGGCATTTGAATAGCCAGCCGAAGACTTGACTTTGTTTTGGTTAGAGAATGGTCCTACGGTCCTACCTTTACCATGGATTGTATTAATATTCACATTCAATGAATTACTATATATGAAATGCTCTCACCATAATTTTCTTACCTTCTCTGTTTGTTTCTTGAGAAAAAGGAAATGGGAAGGCTTTGCCTACTATTGGTGTTGTTGCATCTTTCATGGAGTTTGTCTTCCTCTGTTCCTCCTCCTTCCTCTCATTTATGTCTCCCACACCAGAGAGCTGCTCTGCTCCAATTTAAAAACTCCTTTTTTCTGAGAGATGGCTGTGGGGATGATTACTCTGATGAATACCCCAAGACAGAGTCATGGAACAAAAGCATTGATTGCTGTTCATGGCAGGGAGTCACATGCGACGAGCTGACTGGTCATGTAATCGGCATCGATCTTAGTCATAGTTGCCTTACCGGTTCTCTCCATGCAAACAGCAACCTCTTTCTCCTTCACAACCTTCAATGGCTGGACCTCAGCCGAAATTACCTCCGGGGCTCTCCTCTTGAGAACACCAACAGAAGCCTCTTTCATCTCCACAACCATCAATGGCTTGGCCTCAGCTACAACCACCTCATTGGCTCTCCTCTTGAGAACACCAGCAGCCTTTTTAACTTTCATGGACTCCAACTACTCAACCTTGCTCAGAACTCTTTCCATGGAGCTATCTCATCCGAGTTATTGAGCCAGCTGGTGAGTTTAAACCATCTTAATCTCTCTTATAATGAGTTCTCCGGCTTCATCCCGAATCAAATCAGTCTCTTGTCAAGTTTGGTTTCACTTGATCTTAGCCAGTACTCACAAGATTTTGCCAAGTTGAAATTTCATGGCAAAGGTTTTGAGATGCTTGCAAGAAACTTGACCAAAATAAGAGTCCTTGTGCTTGCCAATGTAGATATGTCTTATGTTGCACTCACTTCCTTTCTAAACTTCACTTCATCACTACAAAGTCTGATTCTCTATGATTGCCACTTACATGGGGATTTTCCATCTCCAGTTTTTCAGCTTCCGAACCTCAAACTTATAAGTTTAGGTAACAATGAAAATGTCAGAGGTTATCTCCCTCAGACAAACTGGAGTAGTGGCCTTGAGGCGTTGGACCTTTTCTATTGTGGTGGTTTTAGAGGTTCAATTCCGCCATCATTCGGAAATCTCACTCAAATGGCTTTCATAGATTTATCTGGAAATTCGCTTCAAGGACAGATACCGGATGTTTTTGGAAACCTTACCAAATTAACTTATTTGGCATGTTATTCATGCAATTTGAGTGGTCCACTTCCAACAACTATGTTCACTCTCCCATCTCTGCTACGTTTAGACCTCGGTTTTAACAAACTTGCCGGACCAATCGACCGAATTTGGATGTCAAGTTCTATCCAATATGTTGACTTAAGATATAATGACTTACATGGTCCACTACCCCATTCTATTTTTGATCTTGTGAACCTTGGTTTTCTTATTTTGTCATCGAACAACTTGAGTGGTGTCATCGAGTCGGATATGCTTTCGAAACTCACAAGTCTTGAAGTTCTTGATATTGCGAATAATAGTTTACTATCATTAAGCACAAGCCGGAATGATGTGAACTATTCCCTCCCTCAGCTCAAAGCTGTGTTATTCTCTTCTTGTGGCGTAAGGCGGTTCCCGAGTTTCTTCCGAACATCAAAGTTGGAGTATTTAGATCTTTCCAAGAACATGATTTCTGGTGGGATTTCCAAATGGGAAGCTGAAGGGTGGGAAGCATTGCAAGCATTGGACCTTTCTCATAACTTTCTGACCACTTTGGAGCAATTTCCAGGAAAGAGATTGGAATCTCTAGACCTAAGTTCCAACTTGCTTGAAGGATCAATTCTCTCAACTTGTTTGAATCTTCAAACTCCAAATCGACAGTTGCTCAAGGAGTTGTTGATTTCAGAGAATAAATTGACAGGAAATATTCCTTCTTCCATTTGCAGTCGGAGTTCACTTACACTACTGGACTTATCTAGAAACAGCTTGAGTGGAACCATTCCTGAATGTCTTGGAAATTTCAGCAGTTCTCTCAAGTTCATGAATTTGCAGATGAACAACTTCTCTGGCAAGATCCCTTCTTTTGTGAACAGTCAGTTGACCCATCTTTTCCTCAATGACAACCAATTGGAAGGAGTGGTACCACCATCTTTGGTTAATTCGACTTCATTGGAGATTTTAAATTTAGGGAACAATAAGTTAACTGATAGATTTCCCCATTGGTTAACTTCACTTGGAAGTCTGCAAATTCTAGTCTTGAGATCTAATAGATTTCATGGATCACTGTCTCATCTATTAGCTTCAAAATACCTTGGGTTACGAATGATTGATCTCTCCGGAAATGAGTTCACGGGCTCCTTGCCAACAAAACTATTCCAAAATTTGACAGCAATGGCAGATATTTTTCAATGGGGACTTTCATACCCAGAAGGAGGCGACATTTACGGTATTGACAGTATTCATTATGACATTAAATATTACCACCTTTCTGTGAATGTAACAACGAAAAGATTGGAGCTTGCATTGACGAAGACGGTGGACATTTTCGTATCTATGGACTTGTCAAACAACAAATTCTCTGGACAAATTCCTGAGGAAGTCGGACAACTCATTTCCCTGCAAATGCTCAACTTCTCTCACAACAACTTCACCGGTCCTATCCCCGCATCGTTTGGAAATTTGGTGAGACTTGAATCATTAGATCTTTCATCAAACAAGCTTGGTGGCAGCATTCCTTCTCAAATGACGAATTTGACGTTTCTTGAAGTGCTGAATCTTTCCCACAACAATCTTGTTGGACAAATTCCCCATGGGAAGCAATTTGATACCTTTGATAATGATTCCTATAGCGGTAACTTGGGATTGTGTGGCTTACCATTGTCCAAGCCATGCGTCGACCATGGGGAGGCCGAACCACCTGCACCATTGGTGGTGGAACATGAGGGTTCTAAAGAGCTATCTTTCTGGCAAGTTGTAATGATGGGGTACGGAAGCGGAGTAGTACTAGGATTGAGCTTAGGTTACATTGTGTTCACAACCGGAAGACCATGGTGGCTTGTTCGAATCATCGAGAGAGATTTACAATACAAATTCATAAAGTGGATCCGAAGAAACAAACCAAGAAGACACTAGCTATGGTTCCAACATCTTGTCTAGGTGAGTTCTTAACAAGTATTTCGAAAGTTTCATCTTCATAATCTAATATTTCAATTATAATACGTATTTTATTTTTGTAATTTCTCGTAGTGGCATCGAAAACTTCGAACTGAATTCGATGTGAAGATCGTGCTCGTTGAGTTTCCTCGGAATAATGAATAAACCAGGGAGGTGATGTTAATTTAGCGTATAACTATATTTACTTGGTCAATAGTTTGGTGATATGATACGAGTGCCTTTGTTTTGTAAAATTGTATTTGCTGGTTTTCTGAAAATGTTGAAATACTGTATAAAAAGTTAAAACTGTTGCGCAAATATTACTTTTAACCATCAACTTCTTGTTTAGCTTCCAATGTCAAATTCTAGCTAAATTTATCTTGTTGATTTCGACTTCAATTTCAATGCGAACTATTGCTAAAACTCAAATAATTTCTTGAAAACTTGCTTCAAATATAAAACTTTGAGTGTTCAGGGATGCTACCAACGTGTCAGATAATATTACTGTTAATCTTATTCCCAAAGATGATATAACATCATGTGAACCAAACGCCCCCTAAGTACTAATTTGGTAGATGAAATGAAAATAGAGGGGACAAACTCACAAAAAAAATGTAGGACCAAAATGAAAGTTTTACTAGTGTAAGGGACAAAATAGGTATTAAGCCGATGACTAGAGGAGGATGGGTTTAATGGGGTGGTTCAAAATGCTGTGCATGATCTAAAAAGGGAGAATGCCCGAAAGGGTATGCTGAGTATTCTTCAGGGAACAAAGAAAGCGATTAAAATGTGGCCAAATAGTAACAATATGGGAATTTCAGAACAGATATCAGAGCTGGAAAACAGGATAAATGACTTGGAATTAAAGTCTCAGGGTAGGGGAATTTCTGCACAAGAATGGGGTCAACTATTATCTTGGAGGAATGATTTGTGGAGTTTGCATAGGAAGGAGGAGAGTATTTGGTTCCAAAAATCACGTCTTAAATGGATTAAGGAAGGGGATAAAAATATCAGGATTCTATCACATATGTGCTCTTAATAGGAATAGAATTAATGTTATTTCGTCTTTGAAAGTGGCTGGATAGATATCTCTGATCCTACTCTGATTAGATCAGCTATCTTTGATTTTTTTAAAGTCAATTACAATGAGAAAACTTCTCTGGAGGTGGATGAATGTAATCTGAATTTCGCAAAATTGACAGAGGAACAAAAGACTGGGTTAGAGGCTGATTTTTCTGAACAGGAAGTGTGGGATGTTGTATTTAAGTCGGACAGTACTAAGGCACCTGGTCCAGATGGGTTTACAATGGGTTTCTTTAAAAATTTCTGGACTATATTAAAGGACCAGATCATGCAGTTTGTTCAAGATTTTCATAGAGGGAAAAAATGGGAAAAAGGAGTGAATCATTCCTTTATTACTTTAATTCCCAAGAAGGTGAATCCTCAAGGAATTGAGGATTTCAGACCTATTAGTCTTGTTGGCAGTCTTTACAAGATTATTTCTAAAGTACTCTCCAAAAGACTTGTCTCTGTTATTAATGGTTTAGTAAGCCCTTCACAGTTCGCATTTATTCCGGGTAGACAATTGCTAGATTGTGCTCTTTTGGCAAATGAAGGCATTGAATATTGGAGAAAACTAGGGAGAAAAGGAGTTGTCTTTAAAGCTGATTTCCGTAGGGCCTATGATTCGGTTGAGTGGCCTATCTTATTCAGAATTTTGAAGGTTATGGGTTTTGGGGAAAAATGGATCTCATGGATTAAATGTTGTGTTTCTTCTGCCTCTATTTCGGTGTTAGTTAATGGTTCACCTACTGAGGAATTCAATATTAGCAAAGGGCTGAGAAAAGGGTGCAGTCTATCCCCTCTCCTGTTCAATTTAGTGGGAGAATTATTAAATCTTATGTTGATTAAGGTTGTTAATATAGGTCTGTTTCAAGGGTTCAGTATTGGTAGGGTTGGTAATTCCTTTCAGTTGTCACACGTGCAGTTTGCAGATGATTTAATCCTTTTTTGCAGAGATACTCCAATGCAAATTCTAAATATTAGGAGAGTATTGAGGGTTTTCGGCGCTATGTCTGGGTTACACTTAAACTTGTCTAAGTGTTCATTATTTAGGGTTAATATGGAAGCTGACAGAGTTAAAGATTGGGCTATGAAAGCGAGCTGTGGAGTGGGGTCTTTTCCAATGTCTTATCTTGGTTTACCGATTGGAACTAGGAAAAATTCAGAGGGTATGTGGAAACCAGTTGTCCAGAATTTTAATAAGAGATTAGCTGGGTGGAAAGCTAAATCGCTGTCGCTGGCGGGCAGACTTGTTTTGGTTAAATCTGTATTATCATCCTTGCCAATCTTTTTTCTATCTATTTTCAAGATCCCTCTAAAAGTGACTCAGAAGTTGAACTCGTTGATGGCTAACTTCCTTTGGGGTGAAGATCTTGATAAAAAACGAATTCACTGGGTGAATTGGAAATCGGTTAGTAAACCAATCGAAGAGGGTGGTCTGGGAATTCTTGACTTAAGGTTGATTAATAGGGTCCTACTTGGGAAATGGGTTTGGAAATTTGCTAATGAAAATATACTATGGAATATGATTGTTGCAATTTCAATTTCAAACGCGGCTTACCTTTAGACTCTTGGATATGGAGAGGTATCCTCGTAACTATGCTAAGAATGATCATTGGTGATTGTTTGAGACAAAATTCAAAGATAATTGGGAAATGGTCGGTCATTGCTTTTGGAGTGATGTTTGGATTACTAATCTGCCTTTAAAAAACCATTTCCCCAATGATTTGCTTTGTCGACGAATAAATGGGGGATGGTTTCTGAGTTTGGGATAAGATGATGTATGGTTTGGAACATTCAACTTAGAAGAAATTTGTGTGATTGGGAATTGGACCATGGATCGCTTTAATGTCATTGATCGACAAAATTTCGCTGGAACGATCTGTGGATGACTTCATGGATGGTCAGGGAAAGGGGATGGCATGTTTCGGTCAAATCCTGTGACAGTCGTTACAAAGTAGGTCGAAAGAGATTATGAGTGAAGAAGTGGGTTTGGGGATGGATTGACACCTCCTAGAGTACAAACTTTTCTATGGCAGATCTGTCATCAAAATTAGCTGTTAGAGTGGAATTGAAGAAAAGAGGGATTCAGATTTCGATGTTTTGTGTCCATTATGTCTTTCTCAGGATGAGTCTATTGCACACCTATTCCTATCGTGCACTGTTGCCTCGGATTTGTGGAGCAAATTCCTAAGGTTAGGAATATCTCTTCGGTGTTGCCTCAAGAACCTTCTGCTATTCTGTGCTCGTGGTCAACCTATGTCTAATTCACTTATTTGGAGGTTTATTCCGGCTGTCATCTTCTGATCTATTTTGGAAGGCAAGAAATTGGTTGTTTTTTAAAACGGCAAGTGTGACTCTAATGTTCTTTCTTTATCACTAAATTTAGATTGGCGAAATGGTTCTTAACTAAATACCCTGGGGTTCGGATCGACCGACCTTCTAATAGGGGATCCTACGCGGGCTGATAAACTCCTCCATAGTACGATTACTAAAGGTTATTGGCTGGACTCCTCCACCATCGGATATGTTCAAACTTAATGTTGATGGGCAGTGACTGGAGATGGGATGCAGGGTCGTATTGTGGTGTTTTGAGAGACTCCTTTAGTTGCTCTTTAGCTAATTTTTCTTCTACAGTAGGGTCAGTCTCCCTATAGTGACTGAACTGAAAGCTATTACGAATGGATTGGTTTTTTTTCTTTTCTTCCAATTGGGCTAAAAAGGGTAGACTTATTTGGAAAGTGATAGCAATGTGCAGTGGATGGATTTTAAAGCTACAACCTGCTCCTACTTTTTTCAGTGATTTGGTGAGGAAATTGGAGTTCTTGTACTACTAAGGGCGTCGTTCTTAGATGGGTTCCTAGGAGTTGCAATATGGAGGCCGACAGGTTAGCTAAGCAGGGGATCGGTTGAGTGTTGCAGACTTTCTGTTGAGTCTGATGACCTAGCTGAGGATGGGTTAGGCTAAGGGGTCTTTGTTTCCCAACGCTATTTGTATTAATGTCTTGTTTTATTATCGAGGGTTAGAGTGTTATGTATATCTTATGTTATTCAGGCTAGTATTGTGTGTATCTTATGTAATTCTGGTCTATTAATAAATTGAGGTACTCTTTTCCTCCCTCAATTAGTTGCCACTTTTCAAGAGTCAACTATGAGAGAGGTTTTTAATGAGACCTCCTATTCCTATATAAAAAAAAAAGCCGATGACGTAATACACTAGTACTCTGATACTTGCATATCATTCCTCCTGTATATATATCTAACAAAAAAAGCTTAAAATTTCTATTGGAAAACTCCATTAAATCACGACAAACTCTTGTCTTGCAATGTCAAAACTAGATTATGATCAATGTTCTAGCATAAGTGTAATGTGTGAACTGTAAACTGTAAACTCGTCGATGATTCTTATGCATTCAATCTTATCCTCGATGGTCCTAGTCGTTGTTGTCGACATCCTGATCAAGAGCCTTCCGCGTTACGATTTGCTTGCATTTCCTGAAATCCATTAAAAAAAGATTATTATAATTGTTCCAACAAGCCGGACTCTAATCGGAATCAGACCAAGAAAAATTACATGTTTAGATCCTCTGTCATGCTCCGAATCTCACTTGACCATAAGAGTGGGTCAGTGTTCTTAGGTAAATAGTCTTGCTGCTGAGTTTTCTCGGTCAGCCACTGCTCGGCTTTATAGCACTCATTCATTATCTGGAAAACCGAGCATTGTGCAATGAATTCAAACTTTGAGTAAGTATCGCACTTATAATGTGTAAACCAGTAATTAACTTACCGCTTCTCTATCCTCTTTTGGCAAAGATTTCGTCGACATTCGTAAATCCGCAATGCACTTGAGTAGATCTCTTGAAGCCTGTGTTCTTGCTTCTTCATCTTTATATCGAATCTCAATCGGATCCACCAACTATAACAAAGAAAAATAGCAGAAGCAAGATGAAGTTGGCCACAACGGAGTAAACCTTTATGATTATATAAAGAAACAACGATAACCTTCTTAAGAGATTCTAATTTGGAAGTGTAAGCGCCTTCAGTTTCATCCTCCCCTTCATCGTAAAGCCACTCCTCCGTCTCCTGTAGGCTCCTGGAAATGCCCTCTCTCTCATTTTCAGATGCAAAACCCCGATACGTGTTGAAAAGCTTCACATAAATATTATTAGACTGATATCAGTATGTCGAGAAAAAAAAAGACAGATATGTATAACACCTATTGTTTAGATCAACCCTATTTACATTATTCCGCATTTCATAGACGTAAGCCTCCAAGGCATTTTTTTTCTCTTTCGTTTGTTCCATAGTCCGGTCCTGTTGCGCCAACTTAAGTTCTTTGTTTTGAGCTTCCATCAGCTCAACCTTTGTCATTGTACCATTTATGTTCTCGCAAACTGGTATCTCAAGCCTCTTGGCTGTTTTATCACCATCACCCTGCATCAGAAAAAGAAACACGAAAAGACTAAGAAGTTAGAACCTACACAGTTTTTCCACCATAAATATTGAAAAAGAGACCGATTTATCTACATGCTCATTGAAAACATGACATGAAAAGTGAAATATCATGAATTACTAACGTATCAAAACCCTAAACCATAGGGATGACACATAAAGATCAGAATCGAATGACGATACAGACTTACTGAAGCATTTGAGGTACCATCTTCACTTCCATTCATTACGTGTCGGGCATCCTTTGTGCTAATCCCGGAATCATCTACGTGTTCCTTGATCAGCCGAAAGCAAAATTTCTCAGAAACCATATATCAATAAGATGTTCAAAGAGAACGTGGAATCCTACTTACCATAGCCGACACAACAGTGGCGATGCCATGAAGGTTTAGTTCAACTTTGACTTTAACCCTTGCCCTTTCACTATTGGAGCCTTGGAAAGGGCCAATCTGTAAAACCAAATGATGATTCTGGTCAATTCCATCGGAAACAAGAAACATTCGTTAAAGGTTAGACATACCGTGAAGGATCTTATTTTCAAGGGTACGCTGAAAGGGAGTTCATTTGGATTGGCATAGAAGGCTTCCAAATGGAACGTACTACTTCTCTGTAATTGCAGAACTTTAGCACTAGGGATTGGCTGGCCTCTAGGGAACATCACGTTATTTGTGCCTTGCAAAATTTGGGTTTCATCCAAAGATAATCCTATGGAGAATGGAATACAATCTTGAACCTCATAATCTCTAACCCGAAAAACAGGACTGAGCATTGCACATTGGAGAGCACATCCTCGTGCCACACACTCACTTGCATTTATGGTCCGGCCAGGTTCTCTTCTAAATAAAGAAGCTAACTGCCTTGTTATAGCTGGTATCCTGGACCCCGATCCCACAAGCTCAACAGCATGGATTTTCCCCACAGTTAACCCTGCATCAGCTATAGCTCTAGCACAAGGAATGTTGATCCTCTCCAACAAACCCGTAGCCAACTTCTCGAATTCCTCCCTCTTAATGAAACCTTTGACATCCTTTTCATCCATCAGACACTCGATATTTAGAGGTGCCTCTGCATTTGCACTCAAAACCTTCTTCAGTTTCTCACATGCTACCCTTAACCTGATAGCAGCCCGGATGTTAGAGTATACATCTATGTTATACTGTTCTTTGAAACATGCCGCAAAATATCCAAACAATATCTCATCAAAGTCCCTTCCACCGAGGCTGCTATCAAAAGCATGGGACAGTATCCTCATTTGCCCAGCCTCAAACGACACAATCGAGACCTGGGTATCACAGTGGCCAATATCCACAAAGGCAACATATGTCGGACCAGCAATGGAGAAATCTGTTTTGTAAATCCCATAACCAAGTGCAGTCGCAGTACAGTCATGGATCAATCTCAGGGCCTTCAACCCGGCAATTGTAGCAGCATCCAAGTACGCACGTCTCTGCAAGTCGGTAAAGTATGAAGGAATCCCGATAACACAGTCCAAAACAGGAAGTCCCAGATTCGTCTCCGTCATATATTTCAAATGTGCAAACAGCATCGCCATGATCTGCACCGGAGAAAAATCGATGTGTCTCACCTAAATACTTCAAGTGAATCAAAATGCAACCATCTTGACCCTCTGACGTTTCAAATGGTAACATTCTTAGCTCATTTTGAACATCAGGTTCCTGAAACTTCCTACCAATCAACCTTTTCACTTGGGATACCGTAGTTTTCGGGTGCATCATGGCAGAAGCCGCTGCCGAAGAGCCAAGGAATCTCTGCTTCTCTCCGAAGCATACCAAAGCCGGGGTTTCACGTTTCGATTCATCATTCAGCAACACATCTACACCTCTTTGCTTTACAGCAGCAATTACACACTTTTCATTTCCAATATCAAAACCTACAACACTCATTTTAACAAACTAAAAGCAACAATTTTATCAAAAATCCTTAAAAGGAAAAATCAAATCTGGATTCAATTAAACTCTACAGTAAAATTGCAAAATTTCCTCCTTAAACCTTAAAGCATCACCGGCAGAAACTACAGAGAAGAAAACAAACATTAGACAATGGACAATTTATGTATTTTCTATAAAACCAAAATCACAACTTTTGTTGCAGAACAGAACAACAAAGCTTCAATGACCCAATCTTCTATTTTCTTTCCATTTAATCATAAACCAAATAAAATCCATTCTTAAACAGAATTAAACGTAAATAAATCCATACCCAATAAAAGAGAATTCAAACAAAAACAAAACAAAACAGAAATCCCAAGTTGGAAGCTTTTTTGCATCCTTTTGGCCATGAAACAACGAGTCTCAGCGACCCAATTCTCCATTTTCGTTAAAATTTATATCTTCAACAAAACTAAACGGGGAAAAACTCAAACCCATCAAAGTTTTTTCCCCAAAAACAAAGGTCTCAGCTTTAAGTAACGGGACGATGATTTTACCTGACAGAGGAATAATGTGTTGATAAGAATGAGAGGAGAAATTCAAATTGGTGAAAGACAAAGAAGCTGAAAGTGGAAGATCAGATGGAATAGAGAGAAAATCTGCTATTTGCTCGCTTAGTTTTAAGCCAAATAAAAATAGCCGCTTTTGAGAAATCAATATTCCATTTTTGCACGTTGTGCGAGATAAGATCAGGCAAGGTTTTATCTGTTTAATAACTGGTTTTACATGAACTAATATCAATTATTATAATAATATGTAATTAATTTTTTGACGGATTAATTCAGATAAAAAAACGTTAATATTCTTCATCAAACCATCTTTTTAATTTAATTTTTAGATTTATTATAATATTTCGTGTATATTAAAATATTGCATAAATAATTTCAAAACTCTTCTTTATTACACATTTATCTTATTATTGGAATTACACAAAGGTCACTCTGTAATTTAGGTTGGTTCTATTTTGTGTTATGATGCAGAGACATCAAAGAGAATAAACTCTTCAACAAATAGGAATGATCAATGGGAACCTCAATTCTCATCCCAGAAACAAGAGGTATGAAATCCTCATACCAAAAACAACGGGAGAAGGATCACAGTCAACAAGCAAAGATTGAAAGTATTCACCAGATTAATCAAAATTCAAATATGATTTAATTCCATTTAATCATAAAATTTAATAATTCAAACTCATTCTAAAACAATGCAAATATTGAAGGAGGGTAATGATGTGTTTAAGAACTAACATTAATAGAATTTGAAAATGTGAGTTTTTTTGTTAAATTCTTTAGAATTAGTGTAGTAGGTGTAGATTCAGATTCTTGAGGTGGCAAAGTGTAATGGGTTTCGACTGGTAAGGTTGAGGAGGCCGGGGCGAGGTAGAGTTACACACTTAACTTACCAGACTTGTCTCAGCTCTGGGTTAGAATGGAACCCAGGTTGGGGTGAACATGGTTGTAAACGAAAGAGTTGAACGAGTCTTCTGTGAAAATTCATTAAAAACTCACGATCTTAAAATTACTATATTCAACATGAATTTAAAATCAAAAATTAAAACTCGAGCTCGAAAAAACTAAATTTAAAACATTTCCAGACTTAATCCGATTCAGACCCGAACTCCGATTAATGTTCAGACTCGAACTCAAGCTGGGTTCAAATTGAATTTGCCGGTCTGCTTATAGAGATCCAAAATTTCGAAGATCATGAGAGTATATTTAAAAACCTTATTTGAGGGATTTGATAGAAGAGGTTGACCGAGTGAACTGGGGTTGGATCTGAGTCAACATATTCAAATTCGAGTCTCTTGATGGTCAATAGGCATGGTATAATTGGGTCTAGAGATTTTAAATCATATTGCAATATTGTAAAATAATTAAAACACGATATAAATAAATATTGAATAGTGACAATCCGTACAACTAGTACTATAGAAATATATCCAGAGATATATAATATTAGAAAAATAATTCAGTAGCAGCGTATCACAGTTGAACTGAAAAGATGTGAAAGAACCCAAGAGAAGGGAAGCCAAAACAAACCATATATATATATAATGAAGAAGGGTAAACAGGGAACAGAACTCTCTCCAAAAACCAACCACCACGAATTCTACAACAGATGAAAGACTCACAAACCTTCAAACATGTCTGATCAAACCAACACCGCCTACAAGTGCCCCGGAACGAGCTGAGACCGGTTCCGAATGATGGTTAAAGCAACTGCAACTCACTACAATAGTACAAAGAAAACAAAATAAATTAGCCGTGCTAATAAATCGTTTGTTAAATGAATGGGCAGATTGTTTTTCAGATTTCAAGGCTTATGAGTGATAAGGTTCATTCAGTTAGGTTGATTCCTAGGGAGTGTAATGGAGAGGCAGATATCTTAGCTAAGGAAGGGATTGGGTGATTGTAAGGGTCTTTTTATGATTTTCTTCTTTTGTGTGTTTTTATGATGGGAGGAGTGTTTCAGTCTTATGTCAAGCAATTTAGTGTTATTTTTAACTATTATGTAACTTTCAATATTTATAAAAGTTCCAAGGCACTCTTTCCCTCCTTCCTATGATTAAAGACCTTTCTATAAGGTCCTTAGTTAAGAAGGGGGGTTTTAATGAGGCCTTTCTTTCCTATAAAAAAAATGAATGGGCAGATGTTGTAGAAGTCACTTTCACCTGTTGCGGTTGTTGATAAGCCCCTGGCTGCTGGTAATTCCCATATCCGTGATAGCCTCCATAGTACATGTTAGGATCCTGGGGAGGAGGTGCATATCCATATGCTTCATATCCTTGAGGATATCCATAATATCCGCCATTCCAATGAGCTTGATCGGGTTGAGCCTGAAACATGAATGGGTTCCCATCTTAGTTTGCAAAAATATGTGTAGTCTGGTTTTAATTGCGAAAGAACTACAGTTCAAATACACAACCTGTTTTGTTGAAGGACTCCGTCCCCATGAAAGTCGAACATTCCTTCCTCCAAAACTGGTACCATTCAGAACTTGCAAAGCTTGCTCTGCACTAGCCCTGAAGAACATATTGTCGAATATCTTAATGCCAAGCAAAAATATATCACATGCCAAAATCCATGAAAGTATCTAACATTTACCTGTTAGCATATTGAACAAAACCACAATTCTTGTTAGCAGGAATTTTTACATGAACAACTTCACCAAGTTGGCTAAATATTTGTTTTAATTGGTCTTCTGAAACACTGGGATCCAAACCACCAACAAATATCTGGCATTTAAGGATTTAAGGTTTCAGTTGGTCATATCATGAAAAAATGCAGTTTAAAATTTAAACAAAAGCTACCCACAGTGGTATTATTTGGATCATTCTCACCAGTATTTCCTTGCGCATTCTGGTAAGTAGCTGCAAATCACACACACGTTTAAAACACAATAGCATGGGATGACAATAATAGATCATGAAATAAAATGTAAAGGCATGCAAGTGCCATCCCTGAATTATGTTTTCATATTGCTATAATAAAGCAAAACCGATTCAAGGGGAAAGGGGGAAAAGAATCATCTAAAGAGCATATTGCATGTTAACTATGAAAGCTCCCAGCCTGATTACAGATATCATGTAAACTCAAATTAGACATTTTTTGAAATAATAATAATGCATTGAAATAAGGTAATATTCTAACGGATACAAAAACTAATTTAGTAAGCAGTTCAAACTAATTCCCTCCATGGCACGGAAAAGATAAAAATCCAGCCCACCAGATCCTTTGGGCTACATCAAGACTTTCCATCACCAGGAGGAGACAAAAGTATATTAGAAGAATTCAATAATAACTGAAAAATAAAATGTTAATTACATTAAACACGAGGAACAACAAAAGTTTCTCCTATAACCTTTGGGTGAAAGGGATGAGAAAATGGAATCAGAAACTCATCTTTTCTCCTTAATTGAGATGAAGTATTTCTCTCTTCCTTTATTTATTCCCTTATAACTTAAAACAATATTCTTAACTAGATAAAACCTATATTCTAAACTAATTTCAACAAAGCTTCAACATTCTCTGCATGCCATCCACATTGACCTAGTGTATGTAGCCAAATAATGGCAAGATGAAGCACCTATTAAGAACCAACGAAATTTGTCTAAACTTGAAATAATTGCAACCACAAATGAAAGGTGGAAAATAAAATGTCTTCAAGAGGCAATTAGTATTGTAGATTCATGGGCATCTGATCCATTATTTAGGCTTACGTAACATAGAAGGATCACTCGATCACTTCCATTGAGATTAAATCCGGTAACTGGATAAAGGACTTCAACTACAATTTCTGGGTTTCTTTCTGGACTCATTATGTCGTCAAGTGCAAAAGAACAATAGAATGAGGACAAAGGGGTTACTAAAACTGTAAAAAGCAGAACAAATTGAAATAAGGTTCCTCAGCAAAACGGTGCATGATAATATGCATGGAAACTTTAAAAGACACAAAGGACTGTGTAACCATATGCAAGTACAGAAAGGTAACTGATCCATGAGGAAAGAAGTTTCAGGACTTGTAAAGAAAGTAAAACAAGAGATAAAGGAAACGTGTTGGGAAACTGAAACAAATTGAACTTGACTGGAAACTTAATAAGGAACTGGAAAATTAATTTACGAGCGTAGGACAAATACTGCCGGGATAAAAATGAAGCTTACTACATAAACAAAGTAACTGACCTAAAATGAGGCCATGCATTAAAGTGGAATCATTTCAGCTGATATCACTTCCAGGCCCCCCAAAATGAGAGCCTCTCGGTGTCCTGCTTTAAGACAACATGAGTTTTATATAAGTTTTTGCCTGTTCTAATATAATTAGATGTGCCCAACTTTACAGAGGTACACTGGAATGAAACAAATTTCTGTAAATTCCGCCAATCTTCATGAGCATAACTTAAAGTACTCTAATTTTAAGGAAAATGAAACAACTGCACCTTAGAAAAGTAAAGGTTGCAAGAAAAAGCTAACCAACTAGCATTCAATTTGGCAAGTCAAAGTACTCTAGCATAATCGTGGCCAACAAAACCTATATACAGCAACAAAATTCATATGGAATTCGAGATGAAGATAGAACATAAATAAACCACAGGGGAGTACCTTCCTGAAACTGCTGACCAGTTACAGCCTTCTTATTAGAAGCTGGTCCAATCCGCATTGCCCTCGTTGAACAATACATCCCATTCATTTCGGTCATGGCACGAATCTGTTCAGATTCATCACCAAACCTCACAAACCCATAACCTTTTGAACGTCCTGTAGTCCTATCAGTAACCACTTTTGCACCCTTAACAGAATGGTAAACAGACTTAAAAGTCTCTTGTAACACATAATCCGAAACATCTGAAGCTAAATCCCCAACAAAGATTGTGTAGTCAGGACCTTCATCTTGCCTCTTTTCCCCGGATCCAAGAGATGCCCAATTCAACCTAAAATTCTGCTCAGCACTTGGCATTGGCACGCCGTTATATGACTGCAAAACCCTCTCAGCTGCCGCTCGAGACACAAACTCAATAAATCCATATCCTTCAGGTAAAGCCGTTTGCTTATTCCTAATCACCTTAGCCGAAACCACCTAAAAAACCAAAAGATTAAGTTCTGTTGAATTGTAACTTTTACTATATAATTTTGCTTTCCTAAGAGCAAAAGGAAGGAAATTCATTCAATTATTAAAAACTATAAACATTAACAATAGACTATAGCATGCGCGCTCCTAATTAAAAATGATTTTTAATTTGTTTCTATTTAATTGGGACTTCTTTAATTTTAATAATAAAACGAACAAATCAGTTACTTCTCCAGTTTGAGCAAAGATACTGATGAGGTAATTCTCATCCATCCACGGCTGAAGGCCACCGATCCAGAGAGATCGAATCTCGCCGGAGCCAGCAGCAGCAGAGACGGTGGAGTACTGCTGCATCTGAGTTGGCGGAGGAACGGGCTGAGGAGTCCAACCAGAAGGCGGAGGAACCGGCTGTTGTTGTTGTTGAGGCATCATCATCCACGGCTGCGACTGCGGTTGTTGCTGGTACTGATGAGTTTGAGACTGGTCAGCTTCAATAGACGGCCGTGGAGCCACACCTCCAGCTGCTGGTTGTTGCATCATGTTCGATAAAAACAAAGAGATGATATTTGGGAGATTTCGAAGAGGAGAGGAAACCCTAGATTAATTTTAGTTCGGCAATCGAAGTTCGTGGAGGGTCGCTCGCTTTAAAAAGAGGCGATCCTCTTTTATTTTAATAATTCTTTTAGGTGACACGTGGATAATGGAAATTGAATTGGAATTTGAAGGAAAAGTAAATCATATAAGGGTAAATCATATAAGGGATTGTATTTAGGTCTCTTAACGTTTAAAACTTGTAATACAGTCCCTTAACATTTATTTTATTTACAATATGGTCCCCTAACTTAAACCATCATTAGAAAATTAAGATAAACTATATAAATAGTCATTAAACTTTTCAGGCACTTGAATTTAGGTCCCCCAACTTTTAAAACTTACAAAACATTCCTCAATTTCATTCTAAATCCCAAATTCCAAAGTAATTCAATTTTATTTTAAACCCTAAATTCCAAAATAATTCAAACAAATTTTAAATCCCAAATTCTAAAATACTTCGATTTAAGGTTTAGAATGTAATTGAATTATTTTGGAATTTAGGGTTTAGAATGAAATTGAATTACTTTAGAATTTTGAACATGAATTTACTATTTGACAGTATCATGTTCGTGTCGTCGGAATAAAACATGACATCGATACACTACAGTTTTTGCAATAATAACAAACTTTACATTCAATATTCGGTCAATTTTAATCAGAAACTATACATATTTTGAAATATTATGGTAATCTCTAATTTGTCTAACCTCATACGTAAGCATACCACCGGAAGCATCCGGCTGACGAAGTGTAACGCTAGATATTACTCCGTTAGCAGATAGGATGCAAATGGCTCTTGGTCCTTGTTGAGAAAACGACATCACCTTCATTGTTACATCCTTAAACACCAAAGAAAATCAAGATGATGAAAAATAATTTAGATTCATTGATAAGTGAAAAAGAAACAATCCTTTACATCAATCTCATAGTTCTCCTTTACATCAATCTCATAGTTCAAGAAGCATATAACGATGATAGGAATGAATCATAAGATTGTTTGCTTAGATAATTAACAAAACCATCTCTTTCCCGTATTGGAACATACCTCACCGGGATTGACAGTGATGATATACGGCGTAAAATTTGTTCCGGCAGAAGTCCCAGCCAAGTCACCTACAAAACAATATGTAAACATGGAATTTTGCTGCTAAAAGTACAAAAATTATTTGTTGATATACACCAATCATTCCCGGAACCAGCATTGTTCTTCCAAATCCGAACAACGACATTTTCAATAAATCCCCACGAAATCACAAATTGAACTTAGTTTGAGGCATACCATGAAGAAACAGAAATCAGAAACATTAGCAAATCTATAACATGGCAAAACTTGAAACCGAAAACAGCTTGCAAAAACCTGAACTAAAAGAAACAAACTTTCTTCGAAAGGGTGACCTTCATTACCTAAGTTTTCCATGTCCATTCCCTTATGATGTTTAATCTGATAACCACTGCCTCGGCCTCTCCCCTGCTTTCCACCACTTGAGAACTCACCCGAAACCGACAGGATAGAGGACAAAATATGCATAGGTGACAATGCCCTTGTCATTGTCCCATCCGGTCCATATTTCCTAGGCCTACCTCTTTTCTTCTTCTCTATACTGCCAGTTAACCCATCGCTAACTGGCGGAACATTGACAGCCGTTATTCCACCAGCGATCTTGTAACACCCCCAACCCATACCCGATCCGGATATGAGTCAGAGATACTACATTAACTTTAAAACACAACTCTTAACAAATAATAGTAAAATATTTGAACTTATATTAAGAAAATACAATAATATACATATTGTAATATAAGTTTACCAAAATATTCAGAGCATACACAACTTAACCCTTTAATTACATGCCAACTGCTATTTACATAACAAAATGACCTACTGATTAAGTTGCTTCTGATCTGATGGTTGCAGGAGTAATACTGTCAAGCTGCTTCACCTGTCGTATTTCCTCGGATCCTACGTGTGAAACACTCACACGCTAAGTCATCGACTTAGTGAGGCAATAATAACAAGGCAATGTAAATGAGATGCAAACATGTACTTAATCAATGTAGTATACATCATTAATATCCATACCTGTAAGCGTATGACTGTAACATTCATGAATCTGTATTAATAAGTTTATTGGCCCATGATAGCATATTGAGAACCTAAGGTATCAGAGTAATGTGAGGTTGTGCACTATGTTGTCACCACAGCTCGTATAATGCACCGAAGTGCCCCGTAGAATTGCAACCGTATGCCATATAATGATGTCCATAAGGACCACATAGATTCCTTAAGAATCATATACATATACTATGGATCAAGTATGTGTCTTTCAAGACTTCACACATGTTCCAAAGAATATACATATATCCCAAAGAACCGCGTAGAATTGCACCGTAGTGCCATATAATAATGTCCATAAGGACCACATAGAATTCCTTAAGAATCATATACATACTAGGGATCAAGTATGTGTCTTTTCAAGACTTCACACATGTTCCAAGAATATACATATGTCCCAAAGAACCGCGTAACCCTCTACCCTTGCATGCCAACTACCTATAGTTCTCATCTACATAACATGGGCTTTTACATTTCACGTAGTCTATATCGCGTAGACATGTAATTCCTTACCTTTTCACATAGCTCATAACTTTTTCCACATATTCATGTTATATAATGCATTTTATATGAACTCATGTCATGCCTCATAATACAGAATATGCTCATGTACCAAGATATAAAATCTAGACTTATCACAAGTCTAGAATGGAGTATATTTCTATAATCATGCTATGCATATGCACTCACCTATACTTCTTTGCCTTTTCCTCGATCGATCCTACTTGTAGATTGTTCCCGACTCGTGTAGGCTCGGTATCTACATAACATTTTTCAAGATGATCATCAGATGTCTATGTCTTGAAATTAAGCTTTAATAGCTTACTAATTTAAGGAATTAATAGCTTAGTCTTTCTTTCTTTTCTTCTTTTTTTTCTCATGGGGGAATCGGTTCCCCCCTCTGGGGGTATCGATTCCCCTCTAGCATTCTGGAAATTCATATTCGTTGAGGGGGTATCGGTTCCCCTTGAATGGGTACCGATTCCCCTAGCCCGAAAATCCTATTTTGAGCTCGAAAATCCTTTCCTTTCAGCTCAAATATACATATTTCACTCCCTTTAATACTCTTAGCTTTCATACCCTTACTTAAACTAATTATTATCCATTCAATACCTCTAAAACTAAGAAAACTACTCATCCATATAGAATTGAAGAATCTTACTCCAATTCCAACTTGTTCTAATTTCAATTCTATTACTTCATACTTCTTAATTAACTTATTGACAAGTCAAAAATCTTATTCAAACTTCAAAAACTCATCCATATCAAAATTTCTTCTAAAAACTCATTTTCTAAATCTATCTCTAAACACTTATCTTGTGTTTTAATGTCATATAAGCTTTCCTTTAGCTTATATACATCCAAACTTTCATTTCCAATCTTAAAAATCAAAGAAACTACCAAGGTTCAGATTCTTACCTTTACTTGCAAGCTCCACGTTTGGAGAAGGAAGAGAAGATAAGAAAGAAGGAAGAAAATAGAGAATTCTGGAAACCTAATGCTCCACGTGGGTTCTAATATATCCCCATAACATTTTTTTAATTATAATTTTTCCTTACAAATGACCATTTGGTCCTTACATCTATTTCATATTTACTAACCATTCTTTTTAAACTATATAATTATTCTACTTTAATCACCAAATGTTAAAACTTTGCAAATTAATCACTAACCCGACATGGAGGATGTTACAGATCTGGTCGGCATTTTCAGTCCTTGGTGCCATATGACAAGCTGATGAAGCTTCTGCTCCTATCAATGTAAAACCTGAATTTGTTTCCATGCATATATTGCAAACCATAACTATGCACTATAACTATGTCAATACTTGCAGATTCAAGGCCAAACCACCTACAAAACATAAATTCATCAATAAAAAACCACATATATATATATTCTCAAAAAGGGGAAAATTAAGTCTAAGGCTTTTTTTTTGGGTGGGGGGGGGGAAGCTAAAACCTCTAATACAAAGATCATCTGAAGAAAAAAAATAAGAGCATGCAAGATACAAGTGAAACTGCTAATACTTAAAGCTCAACTTTTTGTTTAGTTCACAGATCAGTTCCTTAACCCATATTAAAAAAAAGACTAAATTTTGAAAATATACACCGAAACAAATTACAGACATAATAACCTAAGAAATATTTCCCTATCTTTTCAAGCATTCAGTTTCATCTCGAAGAAAGAAAGAAAAGAATCATTAAAACATGGATTTTCCTTTTCAGAAAAGAAAAAAAGTATATTAAGAAAACTTTGAAGTTAATATATGTTTACACGTAGAGATTTGAGCAGCTAAATATTGCTACTGAGCTTGGACTGTTTTAGAATTTGGGGTTTATAATCTAATTGAATAATTTTGGAATTTAGGGTTTGGAATAAATTTGAATTACTTTGGAATTTGGGGTTTAGAATAAAATTGAGGACTGTTTTGAAAGTTTTAAAAGTTGGGGGACCTAAATTCAAGTGCCTGAAAAGTTCAATGACCATTTATATAATTTACCCTAATTTTATAACTGTGGTTTAAGTTGGGGGACCATATTGCAAACAAAATAAATGTTGGGCGACTGTATTGCAAGTTTTAAAAGTTGGGGACCTAAATGAAAGCTTCAGAAATATTCAGTGACCATTACTATACTTTACCCATCATATAATTTCGCATTCTTACCTAAATATCACCTTAAAAAAATTAATAATTTGTTTAATATTTAATATAAATTAATTTATGAATTAAATTTTTTTAATAAATATACGTTATGTAATACACGCTTTAAAAAAGCGAGTATGTTTTATTTAAGTTGCAGTAAAATGGTAACACGAATTAAGTGATATTCGTAATAAAGTAATTGTTATTATTTTTTGGGAATTTGAATTTGAGCACCATAAATGTTAGAGATGTGAAAGTTCAATATCGAGAGATTGATAATTTATCTTTGAACAAATACTACATTATATTTATCTTATTTTAATAAAAAAAACAATAAAATAGTAAAAAGAAATTATAAATGTAAAAAAATATAAATTTTGTCTAAATACATGCCAAAGGCATAATTTGTACAAATCAAGAGACATGACATGTGTGACACATGTTTTTAAATTTTATCTTTAATTAGTTAATGATTATATATTTAAAGTCTATGTTTAAAAATTAAAAAATACACATCTAAATAATATACGATTTGAGAATCTCATTACTAAACATATTAATAATTAGTATCAAAGAGAAATTGTGAACTTAATAAGAATCAAATCTATACAATATCTAAATATAATTTTAAATAATGAGATATCGAAAATTTAAAAGATAACAATAGACTAAGTTTAGGATCTAGTCTACTAAAGTTCATGATATCTTTGAGAGCTGAAAATCAACATATTTAGTTATTAGATTCTCAAATATCATGTTGTTTAGATACGAGGTTTTCATAAATATAAATTTTTAAATATATATTTATTAAGTGATTAAATATAAGACTTATGCATATGCATTGTCGGTGTTTGGCTTTGCTCATATTTGAGTAAATATGTGTTTCGATACGTACCACACGTGTTTATTTTAGACAAAAAATCATTTTATATTTTTATGTTTTGGTCCATTTTTTCTTTCTTTCATTTTAACCCAACATTCTCGCAACAATAATACTATGTGGGTAAAAATATTTTTGATAGGAAGCGCCTTCGAAGGCACATCCTACATGGAGTGCATTTGTACACATGGCATAAAATAGTGCCAATACGATAAATAAATTGAAACATGTATTATTTTAGGTACTAATATTTTTAGAGTGACATTTGGATAAAAAACAATATTATTTAGGTTTATTTGTTTAAAATCTTTACAAATTTTAAAATAATAATTAGTTTTTTTACTCAACTGAATCTCGAATTAAGTAAATAAATCAAATGACTTATTTGATCAATTTTGACAATAAGACTAACAAATTTTTCTAGAATATTAGGTGGCGTTTGGTTCGTTAGAATATTTCTGAGTGAATTGGAATCTGTGAAGGAATTAGAATCTGAATCTGAAACCTGTTTGGTTGGCAGAAAATTGAATTGTAATCCAATTTCATATTCTGTTTGGTTCGCAGACATGTCAGATGAATATGATTTCAGTAATGTAAAATGATAGAATTGTCATTCTTATTTTTTTTGCTTAATTTTAGTTTGTTTTATAACTTACATGTAACAATATATTATAAAAATTTAAAAAATATTAAATTTTCATTTTATTGATTGATTATTCATTTCAAATAAATTATAAAAATCATACTAATAAACATTATAAGTTAAAATCATCCTAATTAAGGAAGACCATGGGTCGGGTTAACCCGACCCGAGAACAAGAGAACCTCCACCCGAGACCTGACCCGACCCGACCCAACCAAAATAAAGTTTCACCCGACCCGAATATATGAATTAAAAACACAACCTGACCCGACCTGAAATAATAAAAAAAATATTTTTATTCAAAAAAAAATAGTGACTTAATTGGAAAAAAATATATATAGAGGGGTATTATTGTAATTATTTCTAAATATATAAGGTAAAATTATATATTTTTTTCGGGTTGGGTTGGGTATTTTCACCCTAAACCCGACCCGACCCGAATACCACACTTAAAAAACCCGACCCGAACCCAAATTTTTTTTAAAAAAATCCAACCCGAATACCAAAAGATTGATGAGGGTAGTAGGTCAAATTTCACATTCCCTCCTCCAAAACCAGACATGGGAAGTGGTGGAATTAGATTCCAATTCCCCTTAATTCTAAAGGATTCTAGCGTACCAAACGCCACCTTACTATCAAATACAAGGATCAAAATAATAAATATATAGAGATTAAAGATTAAACTCATAATTATATAAAAAGTCGAGGATCATCAATGAGAAAAACTCTCCGATTTGTCAGCAACTTCAATCAATAAAGTGCTCACGCACGTAGTCGATTAGGGATTTTTAAATTAACAAAAATATGAGGGGAAAAAAAGAAAAAGAATTCCACGTATGAATTGAACGAGAGTTACACACTTACACTCGCAATTGCTTCGCTCTCACAAGTACCAAAGAAACTGTCGCAACCGTCTTTCGGTTGACCCCGAAATTGGGCTTCGACTTGAATGAATTGGGTTAGAGTCGCCACCGATCATTTATTTAAAAATAAATGGGTTGATCGGATACCTTTTCTTACCTGATCTGCGTCTTACCAAAAATGTGTCGGGCTCGGGAGTCGGTTACGGTTAAGGAAGGATTAGCACCCTTGAACCGTCCTTTCGGTACTACGTACTTTCCAGTTGTCTTTGATTAAGAAAATTGCATTTTAAATTAAAGGTAAAATAGCGTCCAAAACTTACCTTTGACGGATTTAAATCATGCCTTTTAAAGAAAATCATAAAATGTTAGATGAAAATAGGAATAAAATAAATAAATAAACCCAAGCAAGAAGGAAGATAGAATTAGTAAAAAAAAGCTAAGATAAATAAATAAATAAGATAATAAATTAATAAAATGAAAATAAACACATAATTAATAAATTAATAGAACAGATTAGAAAAACTAAACAAAAGTAAAAAATACAAATACAAATACAAATACAGAAAAAGAAAAAAAATGGATAAAAAAAAATAGTATAATACGAGAAACTAAAATAATCTATATAACTATTAAGTAATAATAATAAATAGGAAAAAAACGCCACTCCACCGAAAATAAAAAAAAAGGGATACAAATTTTAAAAAAAGGGATACGGATTTTAAAAAAATAAATAAAGGTTTGGTCATTTCCAAGAGGGGGTAGGGCCTAAAGGAGTGATAATTCAAAACGTTAGGTTATATATAATATAACATGTATATAATAATGAGATATGGTTTTTTAATACAAAGCAATGAGAATGATGAAACGTGTAACATATAATATTAGAGAAGAAACATATGTATATATAGTTAAAAATAAAATAAAACTAGAAAAGCTAATAATTTAAAAAGTTTACATATATTAACGTATATAAAAAGAATAAAATATAAATAAAAGAAAATGATAGTAATATAAATAAATAAAATATTAAGAAAAATATACATATAAATAAAATAAAACAAATAGATGAAATAATAACAATTAAAACTTAAATACATGGGACCGAATTGAATGAAAACAGAAGTGTGTATCGATTTTAGGAGGAATTGGGGATAATAGAAGAACTAAAGAACGGAGGACTAAAACTGTGGTTTACCCTATTTAAACGAAAACACGTGGGTCGTTTGCAGGTATGGGTCGAGTCATGGATCAGGCGTGGGTCCTGATGGTTGCAAATATGAAGGCCAAAAGAAAAAGAAAATTTTAATGTTCTTCATTTCTCTCTTCCCCAGACGAAAACCCCTCCTCTCTCTCTCTCGTTTTCTTTAGTTTGTTCATCCAAAACGATGAACGCCGCCACTCTTTCCAGAAAACTGGCTTTCACCTCGCCGGCCGCCGGTCATGGTGATGGTATACAACAAAAAACCGCATGGGTGATGGTATACAACAAAAAAACCGTTTTTTAAAGAGCTCTTCTTCTTCTCTACTCAAAAGTCCAAGTGTGTTTTTAAAACCCGAGCTTTAGAGAATATTAGATCTAAAAAATATTTTCGAAAATAAGGGCCTCATCTCATTCATCGGCCGAAAACTTTGATGTTTTTGAGCGAAAACAACACAACAACGCATGCAAGTCACAACGAAACGAAAAAGGTTCTACCTTGTTATATTTCTTTGCTGTTCGAAAAGGTACAGTGCTTCCTTTCCTCTGTATTTTCCTAGTACTCTAGTAAGATTTCT